AGTATGAAGCAAGACCCCTACCTTATACCCTGCCTAAAAATCTACTCAAAATGGAATAGAGACCTAAATCTATGACCTGATACCATGAACATTGAGAGAACACTGGGGAACATTGGGGAAACCCTGCAAGACATTGGCATAGGCAAAGAGTTCTTGGAAAAGACCCCAGAGGCACAGGCCATCAAAGACAAAATTGACAAATGGGATTTTATCAAATTGAGAAGCTTCTGTGATGTAAAACAAACACTCATCAAAGTGAAGAGGCAACCAACAGAATGGGAGTAATTATCTGCAAATGATACAACTGATAAAGGAGGAATAACCAGAATATATAAAAAGGTCAAGAAACTCAACAACAACAAAACAACCCAGTTAAAAATGGGCAAAGGACTGAAACAGGCCTATTTCAAAAGAGGAAATACAAATGGCCAAGAGACACATGCAACAATGCTGAGGGTCACTAGCCATCAGGGAAATGCAAATCAAAACCACAGTGAGGTTTCATTTCACCCCAGTTAGAATAGCTTTCATACAGAAATAAACAACAAATGCTGGTGAGATTGTGGAAGCAAAAGGTACCCTAATCCACTGTTAGAAATGTAATCTGGCATAACCTCTGTAGAAGACTGTATGGCGATATCTTAGAAATCTGAATATAGACCTACCATTTGACATGCTATCCCATTCCTGGGAATTTATGCATGGGAAATGAAATCAGTATATCAAAGAGTTATCTGAACCTCCATGTTTATTCCAGCTGTATTCACAATAGCTGAGACATGGAATCAACCCAAATGCCTGTCAATTGAACACTGGATAAATAAATTATGGGATATGTGCACTATGGAATACTACACAGTGGTTTAAAAATGAGATTCTGTTGTTCGCAACAAAATGGATGAAACTGGAAAAAAAAAATCACACTTAGTCAAATAAGCCAGTCCCAAAAGGATAAATACCATATGTTCTTCTTTATCTGTGATAACTAATAGAGCACCTAAAATGTAATCTGTGGAAGTGAAATTGACAGAGATGCAATGACTTTGACCAGCATTTGTCTCAAGTATTGAGGAACAGGTTTTTTTTATACAATTTGCTGAACCTTTTATTTGGTATAGAGTTAAATTATGTGTATAGAAAGTTAATTGAAAATAGACCTTAGTAAAAAATAAGAATGGGAATTGGATAGGGAAGAGGAAGAGGGGTGGGAGTTTGGGAAGCAGGGCAGGTATGGTCAAGAGAATCACTGTATTCCTAAAGTTGTATTTATGGAATGCATGAAGTTTGTATTCCCTAAGTAGAAGGATTGTAGAAGAAAAAAAAATCTACAACATAGATCAAACTTTTTGTGTTCAAATCTGAGCTCCAAATAAGAGCCTTACATTCTCTAAGCTATGCCATTTTAAAAAAAATATTTTTATGGTAAGACAATGCCAGACTGAACAAGATAGACAGAATTTAAGTAAAGCATATACCTAAACATAATTGAGTATTTTAAAATTCATAGCCTTACTTATCACTTAGAATTTATCTAACTTAATGTAAATTCAAAATTCTTTGCCTTCCTTTACATAATGTTAATTTTAAATAGAGAATTTAAATGGATCAGCTCAGCTCCAGCTGTTGTGGCCATCTGGGGAGTAAACCAGTGGATGGAAGACCTCTCTGTCTATAACTCTTTCAAATAAATTTAAAAATCTTAAAAAAAAATCTAAATAATCTTAAATAAGACATCCTGCTTCCTCAAACTTAACTTATGGCCTGCAGGATATTTAATTCAAGCTTGTCTTTTTTAACTTTTGTATTTTATGACATTGGAGGCCCTAACCAAAATTCCTGGAATTCAGTGTTGTCTTAATAACCTTGGCACCTATTTCTAAACCTCAAAAAAATCAGAAGTGAGTCCGCAAGGATAAGGCATTATCTATTCTTCCCTCTACTGACTTCTACAGGGTGGCAGATCATTTTGAGTGTTACAACTTGACTATTATCTGTTAGTGTATTGGATAAAACAAAATATTCTCACAACATTTGTATTGCTGTGTGAAGCAGGATATTTTGTTTATAAGCAACAGAGACTGCTTTCAGCTAACAGTATGAATTTTCTAGAGCTATCATAACAAAGTACTAAATGGCTTAGAACAAAAACAAATACTTCTCAGAGTTCTAGAGCTTGGAAGGCTGAAACCAAGATATCAGCAGAACCATTCTCCCTCTGAAAACTGTAGGGGAGAGATTCTTCCTATCCTGTTCTGACTTGGTGGTTTGATGGCACTGCTTGGTATTTGCATGGAAATGCGTCACTGCAATTCTTTGTCTTTACATGGTAATCTTCCCTCTTTGAAGGAGGGACATCAGTCATATTGGATTAGGGCTCACTCTATAAACTTTATTTTAATTTGATTGCCTCTGTAAACAATTACTCCCAAGTAAGTCACATTCCAAAGTTGTGAGGGTTAGAACTTCAACCTATCTTTGGAAGAGAGAGATGAAAATTCAACCCATAATGCCATTTTAAGCAGAAAAGGAATGCATTCGAACAATATGAAGTGACTAATTTAATTGGACATGGATCTGAAGAATGAAGACTTGGAGGGTACGAGTGGTCCTCAAGGAGCCCAGGAGCAGGAGTTAAGCTCCAGCACTTCAGAGGGCCAGAGCTAGAGTCAAGGGACTTCCACTGACTCTCTGGTCTCTGTATGACTCTGATGTTCAGAGTCCCAGGAGAGGGTCTGATTGGCTAACTCCTTGGATAGAAAGTCAGAACCCTCTTATTTCACTTTCTAATAATTCTGATGCAACAAAGAGATAATTCCTAAGGGTTGGAATACTGTTACCAAGAGGAATGAGGAAGGATTAAAAATGAAATAATTCTATCCTTTAGCAGAAACAGTAAAGTCATAATTTTCTTGTTCTTTTTTAAAAAGTACAGATACTCCTCAATTTCACTTGAAAAATAATATAAGTCAAAATTTCACTTAGTGCACTTAACCTACTGGGCATCATAGCACACTGTACAGTACCAGTTATTTCACCTTGTGCTAGAGGGGCTGCCTGGGAGCTGCAGCCCAACATCACAATAGATTATCCTATTGGGGTTGGTTTTGTGGCACGGTGGGTAAGGCTGCCACCTGGGATGCTGGCATTCCATATGGTTGAAGTCCTGGCTGTTCCAATTCCAATTCAGCTACCTGCTACAGCCTGGGAAGAGCCACAGTGGAAGGTGGCTCAAGTGACTGGGCCTCTGCACTCACATGCGAGAACCAGATGAAGCTCCTGGCTCCTGGATTTAGTCTGGTCTAGACTCCGCGATTGCAGCCATCTGGGGAGTGAACCAATTGATAAAAGATCTCTCCTTCTCTCTCTGTATAACTTGGACTTTCAGAATAAATAAGCCTTTAAAAAAAGATTATCCTATCACATAAGCTAGCCTAGGAAAGGATCCAAATTCAAAGTATGGTTTCTGCTACTTAGCACTTATCATCAATTTGAAAAAATCCCAAGGTGAATCGTTGTAAGTCAGGAACATTGGTCTATTTTCATCCATTCCAAATTCATCATTAATTATGTTAGTAAACTTCTGATGATGATTGAAATTCTTAAAAGTTTGCCCCTCTAATTTTCTTATAAATCAAAAGTAATGACAAAAATACCATCTTATCATGACTTTCTGTTACTGTCACCTTCAGTCAGACTTTGCTACCCTGTCAGTTTTGTAGATTAAGTGAATTTCTGAGCAAGCCCTTCTTAGGTTTAGCCCCCAGGCTGCCTTTTTGCTTTCAGTTTTTTACTTTTCCAAAGAAAAATAGCTGATAGGCTTATTGTAGTATTTTGCCTGCTATCAAATTTTGTGCTATGCCTGGGCCTGGAAGGGTGATCTCCAAAGCTGCAGTACCATGCAGGAGCAGTAGGAAATTAGAGACAAGACCATTACCAGGACAAGCTGAACCTCTGGAGGTAGGAAGAAAGCTAGGACCAGAGGCAGAAGGTATACCCAAAAATGGGTGATTAGTGAGTCCCAGAAGGGAGATAAGAGCTTGATAAATAAGAGTGAAGTAGTCTCAATCAGTAGGAATGAAATGATTCAACAAGAAATACTTGAAATTTTATTTTCTCGACATTAGAAGAAAAACTTAACTGGTCTGTTCCAGATGGATGCATGTCAATTCTGTTCATGACTCTGGACGGAACAATTCACTGGGCCCCTTGAACTTAAGGAGGCCAGGAAATGCATGTGCCTGGAAAGAGGGAACTGGGTGTGCCTAGCAAACAGCAGTAATGGCTCCTGATGGTCAAAATGCAATCTCTGGCTCATTCCCCACAGCCTCCAATTCAGGAGACCCTTGGGGTCTGCATTGTAAAATGGCCTCCTTAGGTGTCTGATGCCGAGTGGAGAAAGAAGAGAAATCCCTGGACCACAGTTTAAAGAACATGACCCTGGAGCATGACCCCAGTACAGACAAGGATCAAGGAGAAGAGGGAAGATCTGAGATAGTTATTGGATCTCAGCTGCAGGGAAATGCTTAGGTGACCTCCAGGTGTGATGAAGGGGGCTACCGAGCTTAGACCCTGAGGCCCAGAAGGCTGGATAGAAACTCCTCGATGCCCAGGCTTCAGGGAAGGGTTAGATTTGGGAGGTGAAGAGGGATGTCGGATTTGCTGACTCCAGGCAATGATTTTCAGGTGTGATCTAGAGTATGTATCCGAACAGCAACTAACTGGGCAATATAACAGTGTTGTACAATTGCTTTTTCTTTCCTCTGTTCTCTTCCCCCTTCTCTCTTCCTTTTCCTTCTCTGCTGTTTGATCTCCATCTTGATTCTTCATTTATTCTTTTTTCCCTCATTTATTTTCTCTGCTTGTCGTTTCCACTGTCTTTTTCTATTTTCTCTTTTCTGTCTCCCTTCTCTTTCCCTCTCCTCTACTCACCTATTGTTCTCCTTTCCTGTTCCCTCCCTTCCTCCTTGCCCATGGCCCCACCTGCTCTTTTCTCTCCCCAGGTATTATGCCATCTGCTGCCAGCCTTTGGTCTATAGGAACAAGATGACGCCTCTGCGCATCGCCTTGATGTTGGGAGGCTGCTGGGTCATCCCCATGTTTATCTCTTTTCTCCCTATTATGCAAGGCTGGAATAATATTGGCATACTTGATTTGGTGAGTATTCATGCAGATCCCCCTAGTTTACTGTGTTAACACCTTTGCTTGGAATTCCAAATGAACCAGTAGTATCAGATGGGGTAGGTATTTGAAGAAATATTTTGGTAGTGGTCTGAGTGACAGTTTCTAATGCCTACTGACAAGGAGCCTCTGCTTGACCAGACTTTAGTCAGGTTCCTCTCAATCCTCTTCCCAACTCAACTCTCAATACTGAGTATTCATGTCCACCTTTACATTGTTCTGTAATACCAAGGATCCTTCTAAATTGATAGTTGATGTCATCATCCTCCACGCACCCCCCAGATGATGTCTGATCACCCTGGCCAGTTTACAGTAAGAATCCTTTTAGGTTGGATTAGCCAGAATCCTTCTTTTACCCCAAGACTTCCTCTTAGTAATTAATTTCCCATCCCTCCACTTTGCTCCTTGGTTATAAATTTCCACATGCCTGTGCTACATTTAGAACTGAGCCCAGTCTTTCTACACTAGTACAAAACCCCCTCACAATGATTTCATTAACCTAATGTAAGTTTTGAATAAAGTCTGCCTTACTGATTTAACAAATGTCATAAATATTTTCTTTAACATTACTGTATGCTATATAGTATGCTGCATACTTTATATATAATCCTGATAGCATCCTTTTGGAAAAACTATACTTATTTCTCCATTTCACCAATGAGAAGAGCCAGCCTCCTACGATTAAAGAACTTAGCCAGTGTCACACAGTTAGCAAAGCTGGCATCCCAAGGTTAGCAGTTAAGACCCATGGGCCTGAGGTGTGTCATGTAAGCCAGGAGACCTTCACTCTGTTTCTGAGAGTCTATAAGGCCTGCATTGACTCAGAGAAAGCATGTTACATGGATGGACTTTGCCAGGGATGAAGAGAACCCTGGACCAATGTTGTCAACGCCCCATTTCTGAAAGGCTATATTAAGAACACCTGTTAGTCCTCAGTGGTAAAGGGAGTCTGCCATGGAGACGGGAGGGTTTACCTGGTATATTGCCTTTCTAGAGAAAGAGAACCAGTATATTGTATGTGTGTGTGTGTGTGTGTGTGTGTGTATATATATGAAAGAGGGACATTTTTATAAGGAGTTCGCTTGAATGTGGAGGTTGACAGCTGCCAATCTGCAGTCTGCAAGCTGGATGCCAATGCTTTGGATAAGGCAGGAGAGCATTAAAGACTCCGTGGGGGCAGGAAGGGTAGAAGAAACTGACTTTCCTATTCAGGCCTTTTAGGGCCTGGATGAGACCCACTCATATTGGGCAGGATGATGTGCTTTACTTTGATTAGAAGTTAATCTCATACAAATATCATCACAGACATACTGAGAATAATGTTTGGTCAAATGTCTGGGTACCCTTTGAACTAGTCAAGTTCATACGTAAGTAAGCTATCTCCTCCTTGCATAGATCATCTTTGAGAATCCTTCAGCTCTGACGTAGTGAAGTTATGATGAAGCTTAAATCTAGATCTGGATTCATTATTCCCACAGGAAGTAGTCAGGTAGTGACTTAAAGTTGCTCCCAGACTCCTCTACATGTACATGGAGATTGGGGAAGACAGATTGAGAATAAGCTCTGGACCAGTGGGAGCAGCAGGAGAGGTAACTGCCCCCACCTTTCTTCACCACTCCCTCACCCTTAATCCTGCCTCATTTTTCGTGAAGGCCAGGAGACATCCAAACCTGACTGGACCAGAACTTGCATGTAGTGTGCAAAACAGCATTCCATGGGCTTCTATAGGAATGTTACAGGCGGGTAAAGCCACCACCTGCAGTGCTGGCATCCAATGTGGGTGCAGGTTCCAGTACTTGGTGCTCCACTTCTGACCAGCTCTCTGCTATGGCTTGGGTGGGAAACCCCGAAGAAGCTTTAGGCTCCTGGCTTCGGACCAGCCTACCTCTGACCATTGCTGCTATTTGGGGAGTGAACCAGTAGAAGGAAACTTCTGTCTGTCTCTCTGCCTCTCTGTAACTCTGCTTTTTAAATCAATCGGTCAATCTTAAAAGAAATGCTACAGGCAGAGGAGTGGAGAAGAAAGAAAATTCATTCACGGAGGTCCTGTGGATATTGATTAACATCCCCCTTTCAAACGGTCTTATCATTTTTAGTTGAAGTAAAAATGGTTTCCAACCATTATTATTACCTCAAGAATGGTCCTTACTAGCCATGACTTTGTCATTACCGTGATCCATTATTCTTACTGTTGAACACTTACTTAAGATGCAGCACACTTACTGTGTATCAAGCCCAATGTTAATCATTATTCCTGTGAACCTCACTCAGGCCTCATCGCAACTCTATGGACTAAAGGCTATCCTTGTCCTCTTTTTATAATTCAGTGGGGTTGTTAGTGAAAGTCACTGGTAGGTGGTGGTGGTGAGTATATCTGAGTCCAGACTTCCTGGACTAGAGTCTGTGCTCCTAATTTTTATGCTGAACTTTAATGGAGTGTCTTGGGAGCATCGCTTTTGTGCATCAGGAATTTTTATTAAGGGCTCAGCACTGCTCTCTCCTAAAGTGGAATTTCCCAGGTAGATAACCTAGCAGTTTTCGTTCACTCACAATAGTGAAATAGAAGCATCTCCTGTGTGCCTCTCCTAACTGGAACGGGGCATCTAGGAACATGCCTAATACTCATCTCTCCACTCAGTTGTACACTCAGTCTAACTGGAGAGAAGCTGGCAATAACACAATTACAGCTGACTCTTGTCATTTGCAATGACTGTTTTATAAAGGCTCTGTAAACACTAAATTAGCAAGTTCTGAATCCTCGCTCCTCGGGGAAATACAGGATCAGGATTCTTCAAGCACTTGCTCACAATATTTTCCTCAATCAGTATATAACTTTATTTTCTGTGATTCTGTTTAAGACACCCATTTAATTTATATTGTTGACTTACAGACTTTGAGTTCATGGCCCTGGCACCATAGCACATACTGGGACAAAGCTTATCTAACACATGTATTTTTTCTGTTAGGCACATGGCAGTCTTCTTGGACTTGGGAACACAAAGTAGCCTTCAGCACTATGCTTAGGGATCATTTTAAACAGTGAAAGAACCAAGAAAAAGTGTGAAAATGCAAAATACATGGCCACAAATATCAAAAAGTATACTTGAAGTGAATTAAGAAGGTAGAACGTTGCCTTGTAGGACTACAACTAGAAATACACCTATCAGGCAACTTAATTGTTCTTGCTGCTCTGTGCACATGGATCGCTAAATAACTGAAATTTCTGAGAATACTCATTTTAAGGGTATGAGAATTACAAATAAATTCGAGCAAGTAGATGAGTTCACAAATGATGGAACTCATGAATAAGGAAAATCCACTGTATACTCATGTATGTAAACCTGCACATGGGCAATTACAGATCATGTCTATGGCTGGAACCCGGGAAATTTCTTTTCTCAGTGGAATCACCTGAGCTTTTAAAGCTGAGCTTGCTAGAAATGCTCTGCTCTATCCCAGAATTAACGGATCAGCAGCCACATCAACCAATTTCAGGGTCATTACCATCATGTCAAAGAAAACCCTAAACATTTTGATTGTAAGAGTTCTTATCACAGTGTTCATACTATTTCTCAACTATATCCCTAAAAGTAGACTCTTTAATATTTTTATCACCACTATTATTTTATAAACAATATATTAAGCTGTTCATTTTTTAAAAATACGTTTTTCATTTATTTGAAAGGCAGAGTGACAGAGAGAGGGACAGACAGATCTTCCATCCTCTGGTTCAGTCCTCAAATGATGGCAATAGCCAGGGTTAGGTCAGGCTGAAGCCAGGAGCCAGGAACTCCATGTGGGTGTCACACATGGATGGCAGGGGCCCAATACCTGGGCCATCTTCCACTGCTTTCTGAGGTGCTTTAGCAGGGAGCTGGATTGGAAATGGAGCTGGGACTTGAACTGGAGCTCCAATTTGGGATGCCAGTGTTACAAATGGTGGCTTAACCTGCTGAGCCACAATGTTGGCACCTTTCACATGTTTACATTCCACCAAGTCAACACAATGTTACTATGTCCAGTATTCATTTTGTAAAGGAAATCTTATGATTTCAAAGTCTAAGCACATGAGAAACCAATGGCATAAGAAATTCCAAGTCTTGAAGCTGGCACTGTGGCGTAGCAGGTAAAGCTGCAGCCTGCAGTGCCAGCATCTCACGTGGATGCCGCTTCCAGTCCCAGCTGCTTCACTTCTGCTCCAGCTCTCTACTATAACCTGGGAAAGCAGTGGAAGATGCCCCAAGTCCTGGGGCCCCTGCCCCCACGTAGGAGACCTGGAGGAAGCTCCTGGCTCCTGGCTTTGGCCTGGCCCAGCTCCAGCCATTGTAGCCATCTGGGCAGTGAACTAGTTGATGGAAGACTGACCTCTCTATCTCTCTGCCTCTGCCTCTCTGTAACTCTGCTTTTCAAATAAATAAGCCTTTTAAAAAAATTCTAAGTCTTATGGCACTTAAAATCAGGTAAGAACAAACTACAGGCAGAATGTGCTTACAGATCAAGGGGATTAATGTGGCTGTTGCAGAGCCAATGGAAAAGAGAAAAAGAATAAGTAAAAAAATAAAGGAGAAAGATAAGGTATGGCTTTGTACATTATTTTACTTAAGGACACTGGTTTTAATTATGAGTGAAATGAGGAGCCATTGAGGGATATTGATCAAATGGGTGACATGACTTGAATCAGATTTTTTTATTTTTGACAGGCAGAGTGGACAGTGAGAGAGAGACAGAGAGAAAGGTCTTCCTTTGCCGTTGGTTCACCCTCCAATGGCCGCCGCAGCCGGCGCACCGCGCTGATCCAAAGGCAGGAGCCAGGTACTTCTCCTGTCTCCCATGGGGTGCAGGGCCCAAGCACTTGGGCCATCCTCCACTGCACTCCCTGGCCACAGCAGAGAGCTGGCCTGGAAGAGGGGCAACTGGGACAGAATCCGGCACCCCGACCGGGACTAGAACCCGGTGTGCCGGCACTGCAAGGTGGA